AGGAAATGTTGGGTTTATATTAGCAGTAAGCGCTCAGATATGCCAATAGGAGAGTGAATAGTAAACGCTAATTTACTGTGAATCATTCAAACTCAAGAAGGCAATTTGAGAAGGGCTGCCACTAACAATCTAAACATCTATACAGTGAGGTAATTACACAATGTAAATGCATTGTTAGGCTGATAGAAATAGGGTTTGTTTTCATAATTATTAAGGATTATAACTAACTGAATGTTCCCATATATATAAATGGAGTAAACTGCACATTTTGGCTTAAAATAAGCTTTTGTTCAAACTCTGAGAATTCTATGCCCTCCTTAAAAAAAAAAAAGAAAAGTACTGTATTTATCACTTTTGCTCCTTTTCAACATATCCCGTAAATGTTGATCATATCATCATGTAATGATACGCTAACTACGTGATGATCTACTGCTCCAGGGTAAGGACGAGATGCTGACCAGCATCCCCTTCGCACGGCCCCAGGACTGTGGCCCGTCTGTGGCCATAGTGACCAAAGTCAACCGCATCCAGGACCAGCTGGTGAAGAAGAACGACATTGAACTGCACATGCACCTCAACCGGCTGGAGATTGCCCCGCAAATTTACGGCATGTCAGTATTTACACCTGTATTTCAGGGCGTCTGATACTTTGAAGCTTAGCTGTACACAAACACAGTTACCCTGTTTCCCTTTCTGTCCGTCTGTCCTGCAGCCGGTGGGTTCGTCTGTTGTTCGGCCGTGAGTTCCCGCTCCAGGACCTGCTGGTGATGTGGGACGCCCTCTTTGCTGACAGCATCACTCTGGACCTGGTCGACTACATCTTCGTGGCTATGCTGCTCTACATCCGAGACGCTCGTACGCTCCATTTATTACTGAAATAATCCAATAACGCCATGTGTTGTCTTCGGAGCATCACTTGACTGGAAGAATGTGACTTACTCCACCTCATTTAATCTGACGGAGTCATATTGCTTTAAATATAATACAGTAGATATTTGCTGCCATACTAGATGGAGATTTAAGCTCTAATGTTGGCAAACATCCTGTATTGTCCCTGCTTACTATAAGTGTCTTTAAGTAAGACATTGAATCCCTGCTGCTGTAGAACCGATGCCAAGGGACTACATGCACACGGCAATTCAGAAGACTTTTCAATCAATCTTATGCTAGAATTGATAGGAACGCTTGGAGAAAATACATTTTGACTCACTTGATTCTTTCCAGCATCACTAATACTGCATTTGTTGTCTGTTTCAGTCATTGCTAGTAACTTCCAGACCTGCCTGGGCCTGCTAATGCACTACCCTCCATTAGGAGACATCAACTCCCTGCTGCAAAAGGCTCTATTCCTCCGAGATCCCAAAGTAAGCAAACCACACCCGCAGAGGTAGTTGGAACAACATTGTTCTGTTGTAACTGCACATGCTGATTTTGTTTCCAAGATCAACAGCTGTGTGGTTTAGTGTTTGTTTGTTACTCTTCAATTTCCCCGAAAGTCCCATCGTGGTATATTAAGCGCTTTCACTATGCCTGACCGGTCACAGGTTCAAATGGAGAAGAGAAAGTGAGGATTATTCGGTTCTCTACACAGGAGGTACTGCTCTTGTAAAATAATTCCTCTTTTTCTATGCAGAGATGGGAGAATATTTGCAGAAGTAAACGCTTACCACACACACAACACTGGGCTGAAATCCTTTAACATCGTGTAGACCAAAAAGTCTTATTGCGCTGTGAAAAAACGCTAGGGCGCTAAAAGGGAAGTTCAAATTGGCAGCAAATGTTTCCGTGTCACACACTTCAGTGGTTACATATTAGTGATTTTAAGGCACTTACTGTAAATACATGAAGCACAGGTGCAGTCAATGAATCGGTAAATCCGGTTGATAAGAAAGAGGAAGTTGCACAGATATAGACCTGTTTAATATCTATATATTGTGTGTAACGCATGAGTAAAGAGTTCTAAATGTTAGAAACCTGCAACATTTGAATAACAGCAGAGGTTGAGACAGTCACACTTTTTGACTGTTTTATCCATTATCCCTTACAAACAGGAAGCTCATAGTGACTAGAAAACATTCTGCAAGACTTAGAAACCTCAACAGCAACAACGCTCAGGACAGTAGGAAGACACAGCTACCTAAAAAACATTCTCCCCAGATACCACATATTTTGTGTGCAGCTTTGTTTTTCAGTAAACCACGATCATGAATTTGAATATAGAATTAAAAACCTGTGTGTATATACTGTATATATGTGGACTACAACATTAGTACTTCTTTGACCTTAGCTATCACCCCACCGTCCCGCTTCAAACCATCTTCTGTTTCTCCTCTGACTTCACTGACCCGTACTTTATACAAACACAACTCGCCACACTCCTGTCCACTACTCTCCTGGGAGGACAAATGCAGGAAGGTGCTGATCCAACATGACAGTCCCCCCCAGGTGAAAGACCATGTCACTGCACGTCCACATCACGTTGCACCTGGGGGAGGGGGGGGGCATCATCCCTGATGACAGTGGGGCAAAGGGGGAGCAGGAAAGATGCTCGTTGCTCATATGTACTGACTCAGAAACATCAAGACACTCATATTTGCTTGTTGATGTAGTCATGCGTGCACACATTTGACGTGTTTACTCTTGTTTATCATGCACACCAGAGACATTTCTTCTGACTTAAAAAAGAAAAAAATGTTTATTGTGTCCCCTTTGTAGAACTATCCACGACCGGTTAACTACCAGTTCCAGCAGAACCTGGATTACTACAAAACCAGGGGAGCTGACCTGATGAACAAGACACGGTAAAACACGCACACAATTGTTCAAGAAAAACAAGTCAGTGTACCCTTTTAAATAGTCTACTTTTATCTGAAAATAGTATTCTAAGTAATTGTAGTTTTAATTTGCTTTTTGCCAACACTAATCCTCTTGTAGACTTTTCAAGTGGCTGTAAAAATAAAAAGGTTTTGTCTTCACAGAGAACAGAGGTTGATTTTTATTGGTTCATAGCAGATTTCACAGATCATCTCTTTTCACATCAGAAAAAGTACCAAAATGTACATAGAAACTTCTAAAAACCCTTCACCACCCATTCATATGTTACAAACAGGTGTGTAATCAAAATATGTCTCAATACATTGCTCAAACTGCAACAGTTCTCACCAAGTGTTTTGACCTGCCTGATGAATCAGCAGTTCTGGATAAAGGTCTGAAAGCGTTCTGCCGACAGGAATTTGTTTTTCCTTATTCACTTCAACATACTTGTGTCTTTCCAGCTCTGGTCCCAGTACAAAAACGGCCCCGCTCAACATCAACAAGGTCTCCAACAGCCTGCTGAGCTTCGGCAGGAAGCTCATCGCTCCGGCAATATCGGGCGGGTCCGGCGGCATCTCACCAATCAACAGCGAGGTACATTCCTCCTCTTCCTCCTCGTCAACGTCCCCCGCGTCGGCACCAGCACCTGCCCCCGCCCAGTCTCAACCGCTGGCCGAGCCCCCATCAAGCCAAGCCCCACCGCAGACCCAGAGCCACGCCCAGACTCAGCACTACCGCCTGCTCAAGTCCGAGAGCATGCCTGTCCACCTCAGCAAAGGTTAGCAGCTGGACACACACACATTTGCACTTTAGTTCGCTGGTATTTAATTTGTAGATTGGCTGCATGTACAGTTTTTCACCAGTGCACATTATCTGAATACCTGTAAACGTTTGTTTGTGTGGGCGTGGCAGCATCAGCTTTGACTCTCCGATCTGTTCGATGTAGTTTCAGGTGGTCTCTCTCAGGACTCTCTCCCAGCCCAGACAGTAAACGGACATTAGTGTCCAGAGCATGTAATGGTAAACTTTGACCAGCAGAGGGAGATCACAGCTCGCCACATCAGTGGAAATTATACTGATAACATCAACGTCATGGTTGTGTTGTGGCATCTGCTGTCAGCATTGCTTTGAACATGTACTCAAGAGCTTGTCGTGTGTGTGTGTGTGTGTGTGTGTGTGTGTGTGTGTGTGTGTGTGTGTCCAAGACACAGTTGAGACACTTGTTGTTGTTGTGTGCAAGTTTGCCTTTTTAAAAATGCAAAGAAACATGGTTTCCTCTTGTCCTTCTGCTATAGAGGCTTCCAATCATTTTTAGTTATAGTTACTTAATTAATTCAAACAAATATTTTACATATGATTAATTAATGAACATCATTCACGGAGCCACAGCAGATGCGCCGATTGGTCTGACTCTCCACGTCCCCCGGCCAACATAAGACAGCTCGCCAATCAAAGCTCCTGCTGCTGCTCTGTGGGTCGGATCTCCTTTAAGTTTTAGGTGGCACACTGGTTACACATCTTTAAATTCAATTATTTTATAAGTCGACGCTAAGACAAACTCAATACTGTAAATGTAAAAGAAGTTCAAAAAGTGAAATTAATTTAGCCATCCCATTTCAAAATTCAGTTATTAATGCTTCATTTAAATGCAAACGTAAGTGCTTTTTTTACAATTCCTTTAATTATTCCAATTATTGCACAATCAAGGCTTCATATTCTTATTGTATCCTTCTACTCCTTCATTTAAAATGAACCTATTTATGAGACACACTGATCCAACGGTCATGAATGCACATCCATGCTCAAGCAGTATTGTACTGTTGTAAAAGAGTGTGATATAATTGATTTCTTTAATGGATGCTGTGGACATATTGTATTAATACCCCCCCCCCCCCCTCTCTTTCTCAGGCCAAAGCTCCAGGACAGTTAGCTCCTCTCCCAGCATAGAAAGCCTCTCCGGTGTGCGGCCTCAATCCTCTGCCTCCCCGCCTCTTCCCCCCTCCAGAGGGAGTGATGTCAGCACTTCATCTCCGCCCCTCTCGGCCACCAAGAAAGAGTCGTTCTTCAACATCACTCGCTCTCGCTCCCACAGCAAGTCCATGGGCAAGAAAGAGTCGGTGAGCAGTCCGACCTGTAATCTGTTCTCGTAAACTTTCATTTTTTTTTTGCTGACCGACTGTCTGCATGTCTAGTCCTCTGTTGGTCTCTCTTCTTAATATTCTCTCACAGTTCCAGCACTAACTCATCTCTGGGGTTTCTTGACCCTCTACTTACCACGCTCCCCTTTGTTACCCTCTGCTTTTGCAACAGGAGGAGGACCTGGAAGCCCAGGTATCCTTCCTGCAGGGCCAGATCAACGATTTGGAGGCCATGAGCAAATTCTGTGCCAAGATGATGAACACTCACATCTGTGAGTAGCTAGAAATGTACACCAACCATGTTCACTTTCAGCATGTAAAACATTATTTCATATGTGTGCACTAGGTTGCAAATGGGGTGTTTTAACTAGGGGATTTTGTTGCTGTTTGTATAGCTTAGTGAGTGACAGCTTATCACATGTCCACAGGTAATATCCAAGAAGTGATTCTCCAAGAACACCTGGAGAAGGAGGACGAGGTCCTGGTGTCACTGGCCGGACTCAAACAGGTGAGTCTGAGCAAGTGTACATTGTCTGTGATATGTTTTTGTACTTCTACTATCTTAACATGTGCGTCTTCTTCTCCGTTTGTCTGTTTCTATCACATTGACGCGTCGCCTCGGATCCTGTCAGATCAAAGACATCCTTAAGGGAGCGCTTCGCTTCAACCAAAGCCAGCTGGAGGCCGAGAACGAGGAGATCTCCATCGCTGACGACCACTACACCGTCACAGCAGCCGCTGAAACGGCTCTGAGAGCCAAAAATCTCCACGGTGGCCACCACCACCACCAACAAGGAAACAGCAGGCCGAGCCGGGTCTCTGATCTGGACGGGGGGGCCGTGAGCACGGAAGAGAAGGAAGAGGAGGAGCCGGCGATGGCCCCACCTGAGCGACAGGTTCATTTACAATAATCCATCTTTTAGGCTGCTGGTACTGGAGCACTGTCTGCATCTATCGGTATCAGTTCGGACAGGATTAGTTTGGTCTCATTATTTGACCTTTTGATCCAGTGTTCAGTATCTTTAAATCCGATCATTTTCATTCCAAAAATGTTACCCTGTTTGCGAAAATGATCCAATGTTTGTGCCAGGACTGTATTCTTTGCAGGATTAGGCCGCTAAAGCTTTCCATTAGGAATGAATCACCCAGAGTTATGCTGCTTCAGACAGCAACTAAATTGTTGCATTTGAATACATTGAGCTTTTGGGCCAAAGATGCAGCAGACAGTGCTTATACAGTTCATGGACACATCTTCTACATCCACTTACTGCACTAGATTAAGTAGTGTAAATCATTTAACAGAGTGTCTATTTGCACCCGGGAGAGAATAGTCCCACCGTAACTATTCGGCTATTTACACCTGGCTCCCTGATCTCCTGCCTAGTAGCACAAAGAGCGACAAAGTACATCCAGGGAGGAGGTTGTGGTGGATGGAAAGCTCAAACAGCAGACTGGGGTTCGTGTCGTGTGAGAAACCTATTTTTAGACTTGACTGACTTGTTTTTTTTAGTGGCGGTTTGTTTAGGTTAAGGCAATAAAGCTATGTTCAAATAGCATTCATTGTTGGCTTCTAACACCTGGGATGCTAATGGCATCTGCAATAATTTCAAGTGAGGGTGGCAGAATTTCTGCTAACGCAAGAAAAAGACACCATCTCTCATGTGCAGGTGGCGTCTTGCCTCGGCTCCGAGGGTAAGAACTGGGACGACTACATCCTCGTGTGCCAGGACGGAGACCCGGCTGCTGCTGCTGCTGCTGCTGCCGACGGAGGAGGAAAGGCTGCAGCCGAGCGCACCCCTCCGATCAGGCGAGGGCGCGGCCTGGTGCGAATGGAGCCCGAGGGTGCGGCCGGGACCTTCCATGACCCCCTGATGGCCGGCATCACCTCGGGCTCCTCCAGCCCAGACGAGGGCTCCACCAACAGCAAGGACTCTGACTTCACCATTGTCAACCCGAACGACCTGTGAACGAGCCAATCCCTCTGCTCCTCTTACACCTGTGTCATATCCCATTCACAGGATGTGGTGTTTAAAAAAAAAACTGACATGGGATAAGAGGGTGGGATCTGCAGTTTTTGGGGGAGCACTGCCGGAGCTGCTGTCGGCTAAAAAAAATTGCACATTTGTACTGTGACACTTCCAGTCGTAAATACCTTCTAGTCTGTCTCTTTACCTGTTATCTGTGCCACTTCAGCCCCGTCTAAGCTGATGCCATCTTATTTACCTAATGCCTGTCTCCTCGGTATGTTGGGTCCTGTCGCTCATGATATTTAATTGTAGCACCCTACTCTACCAGAGAGGGTGCCATTGAACTGCTTACCCTGTCACTACATGATTACTCTGCTGGACCTCAAACTGCAATTTCTATACAGGGGAGGAGTCTCTCCTCTCGAGATTACTGTAAAGATTGGGAGTGTGATCCTCTGATTCTTCTGAATGTGGAGTTCTGGCCATACCTGTGTCTATGTCCTTACAGAGAAAACTCTCTCCTCTGATACTCAAAGGAAAGGATGATGTCCTCCTTATCGAGGGCAGCCCCCCCCCCCCCCCCCCTGAACCAGTGCCTCTGACCATTATTCGTCTCTCAACCAAACAAAACCTAACTCTGTGATCTTATTCGTTTTGTTAGATTTCTTATGTTATATTTTTTTTTTTTTAAGAAAATATTTTTTACCCTGTTTAATTTCCTGAAAATGATTAAATCATGGAGTAAGTCTCTTTTTTTCTGTTTTTTTTTTTTTTTTTTTTTTAATTGATCCCGATGTGGACATTTTAATGTGGTGATTGACAGTTTGCTTTTCTCACATTATAACTCGGTTGTTCTCATGGAAACCATGTAAAGCAGCGCACGCAAAGAATGTCCCTCTAGCTGCCCATTCAGCATAATTAACTCAAGACCAATAAAACTACGTTGCTCTTACTTCAAACTCAAGAAGTTATTGAACCTGTTTGGGAATGCTGTGCTTGATGTCAAGTTGTTTGTGTGAATATCAGGGCTACTGTATATTATATCATTTCAATACTACTGTCAAAGCAAATGGGAGGTGTTTGAGGAAATAAAACTACTCGTATTGGAAAGATCTGAGCATGTGTAAATGCAAAAGACTAAAAAACTGATCAAAACTACATCTCTTTAATTCTCTTCTATCACTCAAGAGACAACATAGTGACTGATTCTCTATAGACTGATGGCTGATTGAATTATTCTGCCGATAAATATAGTTGGAAACAATTGGTGTGTGTGTGTCTGTCTGTCTCTCTTATTCTTTCTTATTAAATGTGATAGAACTTGCCACAAAGTCTGACCATAATACCTAGAATTGTAGTCGGATGCTGGATCCCAATGTCACAGAAAAAGGTAATTTATTGTTTCCTAAAATTTCTTTTTTTTTTTTTTTTTACTTTAACCGTCAGTCGTTTTGCATATTAAGACTTTTATTCGGCTAGCACTGAAGACATGCAGCCTCAATGGATGACATCTGGAAAAGAATAGTATATTATACAGATGAACTGAGACAATAGTGTGCTGAAGCTCTGAGGTAGGCTATGTTCTCTCATTACCAGCTGTTATGTTTAATGTTGAATGCGTACAAAAAATGTTAAATTCAGTGGCCTCTTCTCCTTCGTTAATGCACTCGAACTTGAAAATCCATTGAATTATAGGCTATGGTCTGTAAAAGACGTGGATTTCAGGCATCATTCAGTGCGATTTACACTTCCTCAGAATATCAGTGTCTGATGTGTCATTGCAGTCGATTTAAGGAGCTCATTTTTCTTTGTTGGTTCTCACGTAAAAGACACAAGGTGTTGTGAGGAGCAACAGACTGGATGGAGACGAGGACTTCAAGGTGAGGAGAGGTGAAACCTGAAAACCATACCGTCTACACATTTTTTTCAACATACTATAATATGACTTATTACTCTTTTTTTTACATACTATACTATGACTTTTTCGACGTACTATAATATTACTTTTTTCAACATACTTTACTATAGCATTTTAAAGACCTTTTTTGAAAGTCTATACCATGACTATTATTTTTTTCAACATACTATAATATGACTTATTTGACAGGGGTATTTACTTGGTTCCAATCTGCAACACAACACTACATGTCACTAAATCATACACACTGTTCCTTTAACATCATTAATGGTTGTACTCTGCTGTACACTGTCTTAACAAGCAACACAACTGATACAAATCATCACTTTTGTAGAGTTTCTAGTTCTATTTCAAGTTAGAATTGACACTGTAAAGTGTATTACAGAATAATCTAGATCCCATTCTACATACAAAGGTACAATAGGTGGCGGTACGCACCTAAAACTTGGCATTGCAATGTATCAAAAAAGTAAAAGAAGAAGACAACACCGGAAAGCAGAGAATTGCATAATGTTCACTTGGTATTAAAGATTTGTGTTGTGTTCATATATTACGTCTGTTCACTAAAGGGTCAAACTTAAAAGGCAGTTACTCCTAAACCTTAGATCAGATCAACTCTCCAACTTTACCTCTGGGACCATCCATGTACTGTATATTAATGAATGTGGTGTTATTTGAATGTATGAATAACTTACCTTCCATTTAATAGTTGCTCTATATTTACAGTTATTAGCATCAGCTCTGACATTGTGAGACCATAACGTGTTTGTGTCATTTCTTACACCAGTGAAAATAAGGGTTTGAAATCTTGAACTTTATAGTTTAAAATCTGTATCAAAACTTTGTTGTTCCGTTGTTAGCATGACTGAATGCACATCAAAATAAAAACAATAAGAGACACAGGAGCACGGGTCATTTAAAAACTAGTTTATTTCCATCCCGACATTGAAGGAGGGTAATGGTGAACTGCAACCTTTTACAGAGCGAAACAGGCCGAGCATCATCTACTGCACCGATGCCTGGAATGATGTCATTCAGGATCAATAACTTATGTAAAATATTCTTCACAGCAAAAGGATTGAAACTACATCGTAAAATACTGTGTACAGTGTTTTGCACACATAGCAAGCACTTTCAACACAACAGTATTTGTTCCCTAGAGGCAGACTTTTACAGATGTGGAGTTGATCATTATGACGGGTAACTGGTTTAGGTAGCACAAGCGCTGAAGGGAAATACAAAAATATAGAATTATATGTGATAATATTTAGAGGGTGAAGTGCTTTCGTGGCAAGAGAAGGTGATTGGATGAAGAGCAGCAATCCAGGACCTACAGATGCTTAATGGGAATACGTTGCAGAGGGATATAAACGGGCTGCACTGGTCCAAGAGATAAACTGTTCAAATACCAAAAACATCCACAGACTCCTGCTCATCTCCCACTTATATAATCGAGGACGAGTGTTCCATTTAAACATACCCTAACACAGTTATGATTTCAATCCTCGCTTGACATTGCAAGATGGTGGCTTTGAAAAGCACAAGCTGCTAACATGTGAAGGTGGCTGTTTTCAAAATAACATTTTCAAAGACTTTGATCACTTTTTCTTTTACTGAGCATTCAGTCATCTCACACTGCCCTAGAAAAATGACAAACTTTCCTCCCTCTTGAAGACACATTGCACATAAGAAGAGGTTGATATACATTTGTCGTATTTACAATTTAATGCAGATAACTTAACCTTGGCTTAATGTCTAACTACATTCATCTTCCCAGCGTCATTTATCTCCAGAGTCCTGTCAGCAGTGCCCTGACTCTGCTGCTCTCGAGTGTTATCTGTGACAGGTGGGTGGACAGTGGCTGTATTTTGAAGATCTTTTCAGGACTTTCAGGCATTCATCGACTCTTCTGTTCTTCTCTTTTAAAAACACAGTACTACAGCTCTCCCGTAGCATTTTGACAGTCTGACACTAAGGCAAAGTAAGACCACAGAACATTTCAATTACATGAAAAGGGTTTGTTACAGCAGCTGGCAATTTGGTCACGTCCTCTTTGATTCGCTTGTTATGTCCAGGGTCCTCTTACACTCGTGGTGGGTTAGTCCTCCTGGCTTCGTCGGGTTTGGGAGCGGACTCTTTTCAGTCCTACACCCTCCTTGGTGAGATTTCCAGTCAACGCGGCATCGTGGACCTGCTTCATGTTCTCCTGGACTTCAGCTTTGGCGTGCTTCAGCAGGTCGGCCTGACCCTGAGAGAGAAAAGTACAGGGTAGCAAGGAGAGACAGGGACAGAGGGTAGAAGTGGAGGGAGGGAGGTGGAAAGAGAGCAAAAAGATGAGCAACTAGCTAGAGGCCAGAAACATGTAGTGGTCTACCCCGAGGGCTGTTTTTTTTTTTTTGTACGAGTGTGTGTTGCTGACCTTAAGGATGGTGATGTTCCAGCTGAAACTCTCCAGAGCCCGACTGACCTTGCGACCCCTCAGCCCCTCCTTCACCGCCAGACTCTGCAGCTTCTCATGAAACTCCATGGCTAGAGCCGAAAATACACAAAACCAACAACAAGATCATCGATCATTCCTGTGTAGATGTAATTGTACGCAATAAGCACCTTCCAAAAGAGTTCCTTTTTTATGGATAAAAGGCAATGCTTTCATTTGCCACAATACGAAAAGAGAATTATGGCAGATGCTATTAGTATCCAGGTGTGAGAATCCAACAATACTATTTGCACCTGGGCGGAATAGTCAACGTGGCTGTTTGCACCTGGGTGTAAACTGTGACTAAAAACTGAAAAATAATAATGATTAAAAAATAAAGTCAACTTAACCCCAGTCCCCGAGGTGAAAGTCATGAGTTTGACCCATTAATCCACCACAAAATACTCCCTACACACATACCTTTTCACTCTTTATATCACTACTGGTATTGTTATTACTACTAATTTTTTCCTTTTGCTTAATTATTGCTAAATTAACATTGCTATTTGCCGGTCTCTTGCTCTGTGTTAGCAGTAGAAAAACTAAATTAGACGAGTCAATATTCAACATTCGTGTCAAAAAACAGTATTTAGTTAAAGGGATTGGCTCCCTTTGGCTATTAGGAGTATGTGAGATTCAGTAGGTTGCTCCCACACACTATAGGACACAACAGTGATTATACACTCAGTTCAGTGAGTTCAGTTAGAAAGGTGTTCTCTCAACTATTGCCTTTATTTCTCTTGATAACATTGACAAATTCTGACGTCACCGTATCTGACCAATCGTCTTTTTGCCTGCATTCCTCAAACCAACCGGCCTGTGAGTTTCCATCATCCACCTGCAGGCTTTACTCCACCAACACCAGCACCTAGACTCTGGGGAGTCCTGTCCTCTCTCCAGTCTTCATATTGGGCCCACTCTGAATGAAGAGGCTTCACATCAATCGGGCCCTACGTCGCCACCCTCAATTAATTGTTGTACAACTTCTAATTAATTTCTACTCGGACCATAAGCATCAGATTTCACAAAGTGAGAGAAGAAGAAACAGAATGAGCAATGACGGATCCAGAGGAATGATGGAAAATCTGAAAGACAACGAGAGAGAGCGTAATAAAAGTCGGGCCGCCGGAGAGTTAGAGTGTGTGCAGTGAGTTGTGTTGTGTGTGTGTGTGTGTGTCTGGCTTCCTCTGACCGCTCCGGGCCACTGTCCCACTGTTACCATGGAAACCCGGAAGTGGGTTAACACAGGGCACACATCTCTGCGAGCCATCAACGAGAGCCCAGACGTT